GAAATTATAATCTTGATCTATATATTTCACAATTCATCATTCGGAATTCACCTCCCACCCTCCCTTTTTTTATCACATATAATTGTCTGTTATTGGAAGCATATTTAATACAATGGAACCTTCTGAAATGAATGAACTAATAAAATAAGAAAAAGTGTTCGTCAAATGAACCCTCTCTCTAACTTTAAAGTGATATTTCTAACTGGTTGGTTAAATTCAAATATCTCGCTCACTCTGTATGACAGACGAAACCTCCGAATAGAAAAAAAATAATTGCGGCTCTCGAAAAAGCTATACGCTACATAAAGCAACTGTCAATTTAACTACAATATTTAAGTTAGAGCACTTTAGAAAGTTTTAAGTTTTTTACGAATAACTGGGGGTATATAAGAGAGAGCAACATAAAATTAAACCTAAAGGTATAATTCAAAGGAAAATATTTATTCCAATCATGACTTTAATTTATAAATAATATTTCGACAAATAGCCAATCTGAAAAAGCTGAAAAAAAACATTTGTTTATGAAGCTACCTTGACTAATTCTGCAGCATATTATGGGTTAGTTCGCCCAACAGCTTTTTGACCAAATTTTTCCATACAAGGCATACTTGCTTTGTATGGCAGAGCAATGATGAAGCTTTTGATACGGCAACATAATCTCAAAAACCAATAAAATAAAGATGACAACGAGAAACTTCAATGATGAATAACAAAAATTATTTCATTATAAGATAATATAAACCATATTTTTAACAGTTATAACTTATTCCGAATTGCTGGAAAATTTAGAACGGTAAACAAATGAGAAAAACTTAAAGAAATGATTTCCCTTTCTAAAAAAAGCGTCGTGGAAAAAAAATGACGTATTTATATTTTTATTTTAAAAACGAAGACATTTATTAAAATTTTATGGAAGTTTGCTATTAGAAAAGCACACTTGTTGCATATTTTTTAGTTTTGTAATCTATTCTGATGGTCTTTTTAGTATTTCATCCTATCGTGGTAACATTTTATTTTTCATCACACACAATGCTTCTTCTTCTAGTGATTTTCTGTTTTTTTCTTCTTTCTTGCTTTACTAGATAAGGCAACAAAAAGCAATTTTATTAGACGTAAATTATAAAGTAATATAATTTGCTCGAAAACGTGGGGAAGATTAAGAACGGTAAACAAAGTGATTCAAAACAAATGAGAAAAATTTTAAAAAAAGGTGGTTTATTAGTTTATATGACGGAAAATGATGTTTTTATTTCGTATATTAAAAAGGAAGGAATTTATGGACATTTTGTTGAAGTTTGCTATTATAAAAACACACTTTCTCTGCATATTTTTTACTTTTTTTAAATGAAACTGAACGTTTACAAATAAAATATAACTAGAGACCAAAAAAATCAAAATGAATCTAACTATCAAAATTAATAATAATATAATTCAACCCCCTTGACTTATTCTGTAAAAATGAAAAATACGCTGAAAGTGTGTTTTTAAAATAGAAATACTTCAATCAAATTTACAAAAAATCTCCGCCATATCTGCAGCGCGATGTCCCCTCAGGATTTACTTTTGACTTAACTATCCTTTATTTTGACTTAGAAAACACCCCTTAATGTTTTGAAACACCTTGTGTACAGCATGTATAACACGGTTGGTTACAGTAACAGTGAAGAGGATTTCAAATTTTTGAAGATATTGAATAGGGATTAATCACCTGCTCAGCCATCCTTCTCGGAAGTATCCTTTAATTAATGAAAACGCCTCTTTTGTGGTTTCAAAAATTTGGTTAAAGCGTCCGAATGTTAAGACCGTGACACTTTTTTTTTAATTCCTCGTGGCCAGAGAACAAACTTATATCCAGTACACGCCTGAATTATTCGGCACACAAAATAACACAAACTTGACTTGGTTCGTCCTTACCTGTCCGAACACGTCCGGGATTACCCGAAATAACAATCCGGGATCCGGCAATATATGTCTCGGGCAACGCGGGGCGAGTGTATGTGTAAATCGGAGGTGTGCCCGAGGAGGGGAGCACAAAGCGCCCCCGCGGGGCAACTACAATACCCGTCGAGAACATCTGCTCGGACCCAGACGGGGGCGCGTCGGTGCAAATGCCCCATCACCGAAAACATACGGTAAATATTTTATTATTGTACGGGAAGCGATCCTGAAGATGGCCCCGAGTGATTGCGTAAACGGGCGCCAATGAAGACTTATGCGGGGGCGAAGCATCTGTCCGATTCCGCCATTTAATCGACGCTCTGCCATTTATCTAGCTCTAAGGTCTATCCTACGACTAATGCGTTAGTTTTGACTTAATAGTATATGTGACAAAGTAGCTTTGCCTCTAAGTTCCAAAATTAATCCAATGTGGCGTAATGGGTAACAATTTCGATGTCTAAATAAAGAAAATAATAATAATAAATAAATATGAAAAAGGAAAACGCAATCATTTTTATAATTCAATAGTTTTCAAGATGATAAATGTTAAGTATTGGCAACAACCTTTTCGAGAAGACAATGATATCATAAATTGTGATTTTTTGTTACAGATATTTCCCGAGTTGGTGATGGCAGTAGGAGACATTGAATGCAAATTGTCAATAATGGAAGGACCTCTGAAAAAGCTATCAACATAGTTAAACAACATTACTGGAAAATACTCATCATCATCGATGAAAGTAGAGATTATGAATATGTCTGGTTATTATGAGATGGGTATTAATGTGGAATCTAGAATCAGCCAATCAGTCGAAATTATTTGCCATCTGCTTCCGACTTTCTTCTGCTTTACATTAATTAGTACACAGCGGTTCGAAAACTCAAAGTACGCAAGAGGACTTCGAGCTTGTTGGAATTTAATTATTCCCTGAGTACAACATTATAACCGAAAGGATAATTACGTAGGTACAATGTCGCAACACACAACGGTGATAACCGAAACAGGGTACTCACCGGTAGCTGCGGGTGTTCTGGCACCCCAACTTTCCCCAACTGCAGGAGTTAACCACTACCTTCACTTCTCGAACTGTATAAATTTTAATGTTCTTCGCAAGGTGTAGAAAAGGCAAGAGAGCGGCCGAAAATTTGTGTGCTTGTAGTTGTGTGTTTTAAATATAGAAAACAATAATTTCTTTTACTTTGTTTGTTTGTTTACATTCACTGCGTGTTAGCGACCACATGTTGGAATCTGTCTTTGTCTCTTACAGTGTTTATGAGCTCTGGTATAGTCTTCAGACCCTTCCAATGTCTGATGTTTCTCGCCCATAACAGCTGATTTCTACCTATTCCCTATCCCCTATCTTTCCTTTGAGTATGAATTGTAGGATGTTATATTTTCTATTTCGAATTATGTGTCCCAAGTAGGAGGTTTTCCTTTTTTTAATGGTACTAAATAATTCTGAATCCTATTGAGTACTTCTTCATTTGTTACTCTATCGATCAAGGATATATACATTTTCAAGGCTCCTATTCTATTTACGCTGCTAGTTTTCGTGGTCCACGCTTCTACGCCATAGAGCAAGACAGACCACAGACCACGTAGCGCAAACGTAGTTGCAGTTGGATATCTCTGCAGCTCAGTACGTTTTTAAACTTTATAAATGTTGCACTTGCTTTCTCATTCTTGTTCTAATTTCTCTTTCAGGGTTCCAGTCTGCATGCAGCCAACAGCCAAGATGTTGATATTTTTCGACCCGTTCTATGAGTTGCATCATGAATTTAGTTTTCTTGAAATTGATGTTTAGGCCATATCGTAACTCATTCATGTTGTTTGCAAGTAGTACAAAATACTAAGTTGAAATATTATGTTTAGTAGTCGTCTTTATAGGACACAAAATCCAGTGTTATTTTCTATTGACACAATCAGCATAAAATTTTTAATTTTCAAAAATTGTATACGTACGTTGCATATTATAAACGTTACTTTAAAAACAACAATACTTTAGTAATAAAGGAATAGACAATTTTATGATGACTGGACACTCAGTAAATAATTTTGCATAAGTACCTAAGCAAAATTACATAAAGGACAAATTTATTTAAACCAGTCGATAAGAAGCTTTTTTATTGATTTGATCTATTTGATTAATTCAAGTTTGGGGATTCAAGAGGTCTGATTACTTTCTGATGAATAATTTGTCATTAAATGTTTAATTATTTATAACCAAATGAGAAAGCATGAGTAACTCATTTATAACATCGTCATAAAATTTAGTGCTCATTAACTCCTCGGAATAACAATTACTATATTCTTCAACTGTCAGATATGCGTGATCAGCAAATTGAATTATCTCATTTCCAGTTGTAGCATATCTTTGTAAACCTTACACAGTATTATTTAATAAGTGCTTCACTATAAAATACTTTGTTTCCGAGATATGCACACTATTCTGTTTTTATTTTTCCTGGATAATTTCCTAAATAATGCGGACTTTTTAACGAAAATTGAAGTGTTTTGACACGAATTTGTTATTAATTTAACTCTTACTTGTAGATAGCGCTACCTACTTCTCTTTACTCATTTTTGAAGGTTTATAACTTTTTGTAAAACCTTGTATTACATTTTAATGTATGAAAAAATTATTATTGCAGTATATAACGATTAGATATTTAGGTCACGTTTTAAGAAATGTATAGTAGCAAAGAAAAATTTTTTTTCTTATGAAACTCCTTATAGGAGGACCATTTAAATGTTGATTTTAAAAACCCGTTATGGTAATATTTAATAGTTCATTCAGAATAGCGCTCGTACCTTACTGCTAGGAGCTACGGTTTTCGAAATATTTTGGTTTGATATAATCACAATTTGGAAATATCCAATTCCAAAAAAAAACCACTTGGACAGCTTAAAAATACTCAAAAATTCATACTGGGAAATATCAGACACTTATTCAATAACACCCTGTATAATAAACAATAGGGTCCTACAAAACTATTCTATTTAAAAAATTACATGATTAGCGCATTGCCAAGGCAATACAAAAAAAATGTCCGTTATTTGTTTTCAATTAAATTTAAAGCAACGACTCGTGACATCCGTATAGCCTTCGTTCACCGAGCGAGAACCGTTGTAGCTGCATTGCCGGCCCACATGATGGTGGCTCCCTAAGACAAAGGAAGAACGGCCAATGAAGAGCCGAAGCCTCAGGCTGCCAATCGGGCGAGCTGATCTGCACCTGTTGAGGTGAAAGAACAACGCTTAGTCGGGAACTACAGATAACTCGCTAGGGAGGGCCTTCGATATTAGAACCTTCTTTGATTGTTTGGAACCCGATTTATAACACCCAGTACCCACACAGCCGGTTGATGCTCGAGAATGACTTAGGGGTCAGGTGTATCGATCGCAACAATGGAATTGGTACAATTTATTGGTTCTAGTGTTTTTATTGATTATTTGTGCTGATATTTTGTCTTTTAATTTAAATTAAATATTTACTAAGTCCCATAATACAGCGGCATAAAATAATTACTTTTTTTGTATTAAATCAAAACAGGCTCAGTTTTGCATTCATTATTAAATTGAAGGACGCTCCCTCTAGATTCAAACTAACACCAAATTTCTCACAAATACTGAAGCGCCAATTTTCAATTTAATATTTTTACCCGTCTCAGAATTATTGCAAATTTTATTAATTTTTCAAAGAAACTTCCACAGACTACTGTAATACTTTTTACAAAGCTTCTGGATTCCTCCTGAAACAGTTTCAGTCAAGCTCTGAAGGAGCCAACAGGATGATTGTCGAAACGTCAGCAATTTCGACTCAGCAAAAACCGACGCAGGAGGAATCCAGAAGCTTTGTAAAAAGTAAGTTTTTTTATTTTCTATTATAGTATCTGTTGCTTTACAACTGGACGCCCTGTATAGGTAAATGTTTCAAATGTTTCTTATAATTTCAAGCAAGAAAAATAGTGAAATCCTGATATATTGAAGGTTCTTTTGCCATTTTTTTGAAAATATGCATCGCTCAGAAGTTTCCTAACGACATGTTACTCCCCAGTTGGACCAAACTAACATACCATGCGATCGTAAACTTCGCTTACCACATTTTTTACATTGTGAAAAAGAGTTGCGTCAACTAGATAATTTCAGTGTCGCGTTAAATTTGGGCACATATTTTAATTTTTTCGAAAAGCCTGAAGCTTTCAGGTAGTTTCCAAAACACCGAAGTGATACGCGACTTATTCAGGGACGGGTGAAAAAAATTCATAGTCATCACCGTGTAATTTAACCGGGTTATATATATATTCATTAATGCATCCTGGTATGTCTATACGGCGAGCAAAGTATAAAAAGGTGTGTTAGCCCCTGAGAGTGCCGCCCTCCGCTTCGACGTTCGTTTGTTTTCCGACCGTGGGCGCAGCCATTTAGGCGTTTCGAGCAATTTCGGCAACACGGAAGTGAAAAACAAAACAAATAATATAAATAACAAATAGATTTTCTTTCATTTTAACGGCAATTGATTGCCCGAGGAGTGATTTCTGTAACAGTGCTTTGCTGTGGCAAATTACCGGAGGGGTTAGATATTAAGTACTGTTAGACCAACGATCTCAATTTCAACGTACAGGTAGGGAAGGGTTTTTTTGCATTAGACAGCCTGCGAACCGGTTACTTAAGATTCTTACCACATTCGACAATATATTAACATCTATGGAAGTCCCGTGTCCACAGCACATAGCGACATATTGTTGTCAACAGTGAAATCAGTGCCTTGCTTCATGTCTACAGGTGCCTGCGTTAAAAAAATCGTTCTGTTTAAACTAAATATTATATTATATTATGCGAAGTGGATAATGCCGTTTCTAGTGGCGAATATTTAGCGATTTTGGTTATATGTAAGAATTATATTTTTAGACTACATTTTAAGGTTTCATATGTTAGATCATTCGAAATGTACAGTAGCAAATATTTTTTTTTCTTATGAAAGGTCCTGTGTATTATATCCTCATAGAAGGGCCCTCTAAGTGATGATTTTATGTTAATAGTTAATTCAGAATAGCGCTCGTAGCGATAAAGGTTCTATAAGAAAAAATATATTTTTCTTTCCTACCTTTTTCGTATCCTTCTAAATACATAAAAAAATATAGAATAAAGGTTTCTTTTGTACTACTCTGCAACATTTGTATTAAACTTTTTTTGTAAACTCTGAAACAAATAAATTAAAGGAGGTAAGGTCTAATGAACAACCTCAAGATGCTATAAATCAGAACATTTCCATAAGAAGTGTTGTCGAAATCTTCATTGGCTCAGTTGTTAAAAAAACACAAGAACAAAAGATAATGCGTTGAAAGCGGACGAAGAAAGAACTACTAAGAGGCAGAACAAGGGTGTCTCAAAAAAGTTTAAAAAGCTAAAAAAAACATAGACTAGTAACGAATATTTAGCTCAAATAGAGCAAGAAGAAAATAGTTAAGTCGGTTTGTGTAAAAAATGGGCTCACAAATCATGTAGAATAATTGATTTTTTTTGCAGAAAGTGCTTTTGAAATATTATTTCTAAATAAGAATGTACTTGACAAAGCCGTCCATAACAAAGGAAATTATTAATGAAGTGGACATTTTCTAAAATAAAATTGAAATATTTTTTTAATATAAATAGCGTTTCTTTTTCTTCTTTTTTGTGAAAGAGTAAATAAAGTAAAGTCCTGTCCATAATGTAACGGAGCAGTTTTAATGATTCCTTAAAAAAATACTTTTAAAATGCAAAATTTGCAGAATAATATTTAAAACGCAAAGTAATATTTACTCTTTTGCCCTTTAAGCTAGAACTAATTTTAGGTACTTACGATAAAGTAAATGAGGATCTAAGACCCTTTTTTGCAGCTTTTAAGAAACATTGCTTGGAATTAAACCCCAAAAAATGTCAGTTGTTATTATTTACAAGCACAGCTTTACGAACACAACATCGAAACTAATTAAACAGTACTGTAGAAAAACTGGATATTACCAACAATTTTAGGAACTTCGGTATGGTATTGGACGACGACAAAATATATTGACGATTTTATTAAAAAAAACCTTTACCAATCTTAAACTTATATAGAACCAAAGTAATTTATTAAAAGGTCGAAAAAACTGCAACCTGAAAGATTGGTTCGGTCACAATTTTTGTGATGTGTACTGTCGATGACTCTTAGAATTTGATATGAAACGCTGTCAGCGAATCCAGGTGTGACAGATAAATAGATTTTTATTTGACTGAATTACAATACATAGTATGTTTACAGCACGCCTAAATACAAAAGAGAAAAAAATATACAATAATACCTACGATTAGATAAAGTCTACAATAATAATAGGTATAACAACGTAATAAATAACATATAAAAACAACAGGGATTAAAATGAAAAAAAAAGGAAGATACCAAACACAACCAAACTGTCGCCACCATCAAGGATCGGGTAATCAGATAATATCTTTTATCTTCTGTTTCTATTCCTCTACAGAGTAAAAACAATGCTAAAAAAAAGATTTTATTTTGGTTTTGAAATTTTTAAAAGTTAATGATTTAATTAATTAAGTTATATAAACTTAGGTCAAGAAAATATTCCATGTTTTTAGTGTATTTAAGCTTCCTAGTTCGAAGTAAATTTGAGGAGAAAATGACTATCTGAGTGAACTGAAAACATATTTTTTGAGTTATCAATTTCTAATAGGTACCGTATGATACCTGTATACCAATGGCAGTGGCATAACCCCAAGATTCTGAAACAGCGGTTGACAATGATCGTTTTTGTTTGCATACGAAAAATTTTTATATATTTTATTGAGTTTCCCCACAATATAACACCAAAAGAGCATAGCAGCTAGACAATCCTTTCCGATAAAATTATTCAATTGCCGTAGCAAAAATAAGGAAATACAGAGGAGTGACTGCCAAAATGGTGGTTTGCTATGAGGGATGACTTATTCATAATCTAACAGAAGATCAATTAGGTACCAAGGTTACAGCTCTTACAATAAAGTACCGAGTAGCTTAAAAGGTCTCATTAGTTTTAAATTTAGTAGGGTAGATTTATAAGACCGGCTCATTATCTTTGTAGAGTACGTTTTTATCTTTTGTCACCAAATAATTGTTTTTTTAAGCCACTCTGCTTATTCACTTATACCAATAAAGTCATTATTATTGCTATTATTAATTTATAAAGTCCGCTTGACTTCAGCTTGTTTTTACGAAACGAGGGGTGTACAAATAATTTGGATGGTAAAATGAAATATTTGAAATATGTGACTGTATTTAAGATTTGGCGCTTTAAAACTAATTGTTGACAGAATTGTTGGATTCAATTAAATGTGATTCATTGATTTACTTGAAAAAAAAAAATTAACCATCTTTTTGTGGATTATAAGGTTCGTCCCCACATAGCTAACTATAGAACGGCTTTATCGACCAGAAGTGAGTCCCATCGAACTCGTTTGGGATTATGTCATTAAACCTGTACAGCAACCAATCAATGCCTATTACTGGCGCTCAAGAAGCATGTGACATCTACCGCAATAAGACAAGATTCATATAATAGGAATGTATGAAGCGGGCGAAACCCTTTATTACTTAATCCGAGTTTTTATAATTTATAAATTAGAATTTAATTGATAAAATTGAATTATATTTTGATTTTGCACAATGTCAAATCTAACCCTGTTAACTATTTTGTGTTTTGCAATGAGCGTTTGGATATTATTTTACCTTAAAATATTGCTATTTTTCTCTTGTTGACGTAAAACGCCATACGAAGGTAACTGATCGAGAGCATGAAAACTTTAAGAACAAACTAGTTAAAATTGAAAAAAAAAACGCGCTATCACAAAATGTTTTCTGGGCAACAATAAGAGCGACAACTGCGTGGAAGTTGCCGACAATTTATTAACAAGCAAAAACAATAAAATTATGTATATGTATGACATGTAGGTATTGCTTGCAATTCCAAATAACAAATTTTGAGTGACGTGAGCGAGGAACGCGGGAAAAAGCTAAATCAACGGTTGAAACAGCGTTATCAAGACAGATGGAATAAAATAATGTGTTTATCTTTCAAATCTTTGTCCGAGATGGTTGTGGAAAAAGTTGCTCTACTACTAATTTTAAAACCTAATTGTTATAAATGTAACGTAGATCTAGATGTTTTTTGTAGCAATGTGAATATGTAAGTTTACAACTAATAGGCTTATACTTCGTTTCTTAATCCTAGAAAGTAATAAAATGCAAATTTCACGTTGATTGTTATACAAGTTGGCTAATTTAAATATTATATCGTAAAGTTCAAATACATGATCGTTCCCGATAAATTCCGTAATTCGATTTTAAATTCCCTACACACCTAAATTAGGGCCAGACTAATATCAAGTAAATAAAAACTTAAAAAGAAGTAAAAAAAAAATACTATTTAGAAAACCACTTGTAAATTTGAGTCATCATATTGCTAGTGGTCAGATAATTTATAGTCGTTGCAGCCCAGGGAAATAAAAATGGGCTCTGCAGTGTTCTCTAACATGTTTTCTGGGCAGCAATAGCTTACCGCATTCTTTCTTCCATTTCAATCACATGTTAGACTCGCTTTCTCCAGTGTTCACAATCCACCGTCTTTATTCCCTCTTGCAAGAGGGTTTTAACGTTCCGCATTTTAAAAGTCGTGTCTCTAGTATTTCTCTGTTAAAAGTGATTTTCTGTTTTAAATTTATTTTAAATTTCATTTCCATCAAAGTTTTCCACAATTTCTTCATATGCATAAATGAAACGAAATCACCCTTTTCCACTTCAGTCATTCTTTTGTCTAAGGTAGCTATTGTCTTTTTTCATCCTCATTTATTACAGTTTCTTTTCTTCCCATACTTAACTTTGGTGACTTGATGGGGCCCCGTTTATCCTCGTGTACAAGTTTGCATATTGTTGATTATTAAGCTCCAGTCACATTTGAACTCATGTTGAGTTTTGGTGGCGAAAAGCACTGAACAAATTGAGAAAATTAATTTTCTCATTTCTAGAAAGGGCAGTTTTACTAATCCCTTCGGAAACACCAGTCATTGTCAAGAATGAACTTTACCACCGCCTGCCAGAAAGTAACTCTAATATTAATTTTAAACACCAAAGCACAGGTAGGTCAACTAGCGGTCCTACCACTCACGCTACCCTTGACATATTTACAACTCTTAAGCATTAAGTAACAGAGTATAAATTTTCTTTGTATGTGCGTATCCTTTATGTAGACAATTTTCAAATTGTCTAAAAAATTGTCGATGGACGAAAAGTGCACTTGATCGCCCATCCTCTAAAAACGAAGACATTAATTTTAATTGTCTGCTTAATAAAAAAAAAAACGACGCAACTTTTCGATCAACGACGATAATCGTCAAAATCGCATCGTTTGACCAACAAACTGCGCCGGAAATTTCGGGGGCGCCCTAATCGGTGACACGTGCCTGATGAGGGCCATTCACTGCGAGAACAAGACCTCTCCTGAAGAGGCTAGGACAATGCCTTCAATTAAGCCGAGCGCTTAATGTCATAGATGTAATCGCTGGATCACCTGATTATCAGCTACCACGACGAGCCTGCGGGACGTCAAAAATAACTGAATAATTGCGTCCTTTTCGATCAGGCAGATTGCTCGTCGTTTTCACTGTTTGGTTTACAGAACCGCGCAAAACAAAAGTTGATTGGTTTAAAAAGGCACTAGTTCAAAAACCCTGTAATATTTGGATACAATAAGCTCGAAACATTTGATTAATTTTAATGTTGTTCTTGGTTGTAATGATAAAATCATTACCACAATTTTGGAAACAACCATAACTTGTTCGGGATTGGATGTGAGGATAAACCTGATGGTAAGAATAATTGTGACAACTTATTTAAAAACTAAAAAACGTAAAACTGTTGTTACGGCTTAGATAACTATGTATTTAGCAATTTAGAAACAGACCAAGGGTGCATTCCAATTGACACAACCATCGCTATGAGAGAAAAACAGAACAGTTGAGATCATTTGGCACATTACTCAAGAGTTTAATTAATTAACATTTCATTTGTGTGTCGTTGATAGTGTTGACAGTAAAAAGTATGATTATATTATTTAAATTTATCTTTTTTTTAGTAACTATTTTGTGCGGAGTCAACTAATCTTTAAGAATTTAATTTGGAAGAAGTTACTACCAACGGGTTGGTAGAGGACATTGATCTTAATGTTGTTGGTGAAGTTATTAACAATTTAGTAAAACCTTTTAATTTGGTTTGTTATATGAAAGCATCCGCAATTAGGAATAATTTGAAATAACAATCTGGATTATGGAACCCAGCTTTATTCTTTAATAGAAACAAAAAATATGCAACTGTAACTGTTTAGTATGTTATGTTAAATAACATTTTTAATTTAATTTGCCTGTTGAAAAACATTGGACAATTTTAAAGTGTATTATACAAATGGTATAATACTCCATTTCAATGACTCTCATGTTTCTTGAACTTCTAAGTTACATTGAAAAGTTTGAGAAAAATAAGTAACTGCGTTATTTGTTTCATTACTTTTGTATAATTTTAATGTTTAACGGTTAACCGATTGAAATATAATTTGTAAAACAAAATTATTCATTAAAATGAAATATTAAACCAAAGCTTCTGCAACATACAATGAACCAAACTAACATTCCCAACAATCAACTTCATGAAACATTTTAATTCATGAAACATAAAATAAAGAAACAATTTAATAGATCATAAATATTGGTAACATAATCATATTCAAACGTCAGAATTCCATGTTTTACCTTTTCCTTTTTAATTTGTCAAATAAAAAAAATGGGATGAAAGATATTTCTGATATTAAATGCTTATTAAACATTTACTTAACTCGATTTAAATAATTGCTATTTCTATAATTGAAGAATTAAAATGTGTGACGAATTAAAATGTTTGAATTTAAATTAGCAGCATTTTAATTGGGGCACACTAGCATCACTAGCATTTTTCTTTCCTTTTTGGCAGCTCCTTTAAGACATTAATCTGATAAATTATTTTTACAGTAAAAGAGTATTTTCGACCGACTATTTAGGAATGTAGGAATGTTGATGAATCGAACTTGCTGACATGTGGGCAATCTATATAATTTTGTAATTGTTCCACCGTATATAGCCGATTATATTGTTAACGTTAAATCATATGCAGCAGCAAAGTATTGTCTATATTGGAATATCAAATATATGTCTTAATGGATAAAAAAAAAGAAGAAGAGTTCTAGTTGCAGCATCGTGACTTCAGAAAACTTATAAAAAACCACCGTAATTTACAGCGTCCAATTCAAAATTGCATTCAATTAATAATTTTAATAATTCTAATTAACTAAATATCAAATATTTAAATTTCGTAATAAAAATTTTTGACAAATATTTTATTTCAAAAATGTCATTGATGATAATTTTTATTATTAGCATTTGAAAAGTTCGCTAAAACCTGGAATTCTGATTTTTGTATAAAGCTATGTTACCAACATGTAAGTTGGTCAATCAAATTGTTACTTGTTAAATTAATTTGTTCAATATATTCAATTTCAATCGTTTCAATTTAAAAAGTTAAATCATACACAATTATTAAAATTAACTTTAATAAATTATAATTGCTGTATTATAAAGAGGAACTTTTGAGTTTAATGTTTAATTTGTCTTGTTTTTGTTTTTAAACTTTTACACACTATCTTAAGTGTTTTATCTTTTTTTCGCTGCACACAAACAATAGGCCATTTTATTATTATAGGCCGACTATCACCGTTCATACAAATTTGAGTTTCCACCGGCTCCATATTTTTATCGAATGTTACATGATGTTGAGGTTATGTTAAAATGATCGCATAACTTTTCCGCTCAACCAAATAGTGAGGCGTTCCGAATAAGCAATTTGATTGTTGGCACCAAGAAAAGTGAGACTCAACAGTCTGAACCATATAGTTATTAGATAATATATACTACGGTCAAAAATTGATGCTTCTCAGGTACCTATGATATAAAGATGGGAATGGTCTCCCGCGTATGCCTCTTAATTAATCCAAACTTATTGGCAATCTGTCAGCGGCCATATTGATTATTGAATGCGGGAAGGTCATTGGTTTAAAAGTAAATTTTAAATCTCGCACATGCTTATGTTGACCTCTAAAATTATTTCATAGTTGTTTCATAAGTTCCTACATTACCATTATTAGGCAGGGCCTCTGTATCTCTAGTAGCTATATGGTGTCAACAGTTTTGTCGCTTAAACCACAGCCCATGTGAACAAAATAAAATATCCTAGTCCAATTCGCATTGGAGTTTGAAATAGGTATGTCTTAAATAACGGTAGTTTAATAAGTATTCGCAACAAAAGGTGAGCTTCCTCAAGTTGCCCCTCATTAATTAAAAACATAACCAAAATACCTAAAAGCAAAATTAACAAAGTTGGGCGTATAATACTTGCGCCTCGCAACCGCTGTATAACCTAATTAACGCGCTTTTTAATTGCAACGGGCGACTTGTTTAATATTGTGTCGGCGGTTTAATGAATCAGTCCCCGGGGCGACGATATGTTTTAATAAACCACCCCCGTGTCGACACATAAAATCCGCGGGGTGCGTTTTACGCGCGCTACGCCACCCTTTTTCGTAATCCAATAATAGTTTTGGAATAAATATCGTTGGATGGGGAATTCGCTCGTGGGAAACGGTCGGTTGAATTTAATTAAATTTGCCGACTTAAACCATTAGTGAACTATGTACATAGAGTTACAGAAAACTCCGTTTCTAGCATATACAACCAGACATACAACTGGCTGAAGTTCGCTTTAGGAACGCAAGTTTTACAGCAAGCTGGCTAATTTTCTTGAGGTAAGAAGTTATTACTACTTTTATTTTGCTTAATTTTGTAAAGCATTAGACGTATTGTATAATGATGATGGGTGACATTTAAATTGATTGAATGAAAAGTCGCAAAAATAACATTAAGTTTCAAATACTTATTATAGGTATAATTTTTCAAAGTAACTTCCACAGGCTACTGTAATACCACTAATACTTACAAATCTTCTGGATTCTTCCTGCGAAACTAGTTTCAGTGAAGTTCTGAAGGAGCCATCAGGATGATTTGTACATAGTATTGTAAGTATGTATGTATATCGGTATTTATGCTGATAATATTCACATTGAATGTAATCTAAAACCAACGAGATGTATAAAACTATATACAATTGTATTATTGGCAAATGACTTCAGAAAAATATTGCTGTTTGTCGGGATGGTGTTCAAAGATTTTGCGGTAGTTAGGATACAAGTCAAAAATATTATAGTTCGAAAATATCCATTTTGTCTTTACGCTGCATAAAATTGAATGTTATTTTTAGAATCGGTTCCTGGTTGCTACAAATTCCAAGATTGAAAGTATGCATAGAAGAAACGAAAACCTCCTGATAAAACTAACCGAACCTAGTCTGTGGCCTCACCAGCTGATTAATTGTCCATTCCCTCTATAGCTGTCAAATTGGAACGGTATGAAAAGATAAAGCATTAAAATTGTTAATGAAGCAAAATACATAAAATGTTGATACGAAAGAATAGCAAGTGTTGTTTGTAACGTTTTTTACAATCTTTTTATCTTATTAAGCTAGTAGCTTAAAGGATTTGACAATTTTATGTGTTTGTCAGTTAGTTTTTAGCACTTAAAATGACTTCTAACGCCAGCCCCTCACATTATACCGAAGACGCTTTCGTGACAGATGCAAATTTCAAAGTAGAAATTAATGAGAAGATGAAGGTGCCCGATAGAATCAGCTTTAATCCGGAGGTGAATGGTGAGACTAGAAATTTTTGGACCAAGGACTCGTTTGATATGCACGTGCCTGAAAGAATACTGGTGGTCGGACAACATCAACACATTGGTATGTCGTTTCCATATAGATATTATTTGACAGTGACATAAATAAGCCTTCACGATGCATTGCGATTGCTATGAAATCATTACTATGTTTGCCAGTTAAATAACTATAAAAATTGTAGATATGATTTAAGCAGTCATTGAATTTTAGGTACAAGAGCACCGCCGCGAGAAATTGCTTTTGATAATTCGATTATAAAGTCTGATCCTTACCCATCAGACTTACCTCGGGTCGCTACGCCTCCAAGAAACTTAACACTTGACAAGTATGTGTTTCCAGGAGTAAATGACTATGAAGAAGAATTTTCTGCTGCAGAAGAGAAACTACCAGTGTCCAAACCAAAAGCCAAAGTCAGAATAAATGATTCTACATTTTCCATGTCAAATTCATATAGGGAATCAACTCCTCCTTTAGGTATTTAAAAGAAACTTTAATTTTGTCTAATATTACGATAACTATTTCTTACTTTAGGTGGAGGAGATCCGTTGACCCCCGCAGAGGAGGTCTTGCATTTGAGAAGGCAAATGGCCAAGCTAAACAGACGGTTAATAGCTCTTGAAATGGAAAATTTGAACAGACTTCAGAAAGAGAAGATTGTTTTGGGGTTTGGGATGGCATATTTCCTATTTAAGGTTATTCTTTGGATGAGCAGAGACTAATTATTTAAAACATGAATATGTCTGATTGCAGTATCTTTTTATTTAGCAACGATTTTTGGTTTAATTTGTATTCTTTAAATTTAGAAAGTTAAGCATACAATGTGTTATCGGAATGAATTTTTAAGTAGACAATTATTTTTGATGGATTTTGTCACTTATTTTGAAATACATACTAGTTATTGTGGTTAGCACTAGAATTTTTGTAATGAGTGACTCCAAAACCATTTTATATAGAAAGATGCATCTTTGCATTTTTTGTCCAGTAGTTTAAAACTGAAATTTAATCACATGAATCCCTGGCTAGTATCATTTCCAAAAACTAAAATTATATCATGTTCAATCAAATTATTACGTTTTATTCTGTTGTTTGCCAGTTATGGTCACTGATTTACTGACCCGACCACTTACAAGTCCGTGCTGGCGACCCGTCCCCAAAAAATAAAAAATAAATAATTCCTGTTCTGCGCAAATTGAACGTTTGCTTTTGCCTTCGTCCAGATAAACAATGGGAAGATTTCGCTTTTATCTCTCACAGGATTTGATTGACTATCCATAGTATAAAAATATGATGGTCACTAGCATCATCATAAATTGTAACCCCACATTTATCCAAAATATTAAATTAATGAGCAATGCGTTATTAAAAATTATAATTCTATTCACGAAACAAGTTTGTGTTCACTCGCGGCATTAATTTCAAGAGTCGCGATGCCGCGCATCAAGGCATCCCCCAAAAAATGCATCAAAACGAACTTACAACAACCCACAAATTCTTGGGTTTTTCTGTTGAAAGGTGTGTATATTTGCTAATGCCGTGTACCGAAACTTTGGGTTTTCTAAACGATGGGGTTTTTTGAAGATTGTTTTATTTCACAGCATATCTATCATATTTCTTAAGTACAAAAATAATTTAATTTAATTTTATAGTTGACCAAAATGTACTGTGATTTAAATATTGTTAGGCGAGGCTCTGGAATTGTCAGAACAATATACGGGAAGCGGGACTCCTGATATTGTAACCCTACGTCACCCCAACACAGGAGAGTCAGCAGTATTTTTGTTCTCCCCAGCCAACAACTCAGTACAAGAAATTTTAACTTTTAATGAGGGCAAAAGGTCTTGGTTTATAGATGAATCTATAAAGAGTGATGGCAAAATGCAGTTGTCCACCCCTATAGATCCTATATTCTTAGTTCTGCCATATTTAAGGAAATACTGCCTGACTCAGGCAGTTCCTCTAGATCAACTATTGAGAGATGAAGAATATCCAGAGACTGAAAGACTACTGAAGTCCAGTGGTCTTAATTATTTAGGAATGATTGCCGATAGAAAGGTTAGCACTTTGTGGTTTGTAGTAATTTATTTTGTACAAAACAATTGCATGTTAGTTTTTCAAAGAAACTTCCACAGGCTACTGTAATGCTTTTTACAAAACTTCTGGATTCCTCCTGCGTCGGTTTTTGCTTAGTCGAAATATGAGCCAGTTTCAGTCAAGCTCTGAAGAAACCAACAGAATGATTGGCGAAACGTCAGCAATTTCGACTAAGCAAAAACCGACGCAGGAGGAATCCAGAAACAATTGCAATTAATGTTTTGACATTGTGGCCTTTTGCACAGGAATGTTTATTTTTATTTTAAGGGAGACGAGGAATTAAACGCTTTTAAATACAATGAAGAAAAAACGCTAAACTGGCTCAAAAAAAAGACTGAAAGAGTGGCGGAGATCCTCAAACAGAAAAACATTCATGTAACTGGTGGTGGGGCAATCTCAGCAAACTTTGTCAAATCAAAAAGCGATTCTGCAGACAATGAATCCTATTTGCGTTATGCGCATGGTATCGTGTCTGAATACTTGATGGAGGACTTGAGCCAAAAGCTACTGCGGTTTCTAAATTTGCCAGAAGAATCGCAGCAACACTTAAAGAGGAAGAGTGCAAGCGCCCTTGGACCTGACCCGAAAAAGGTCAAGACTGATGAGGAGACCAAAAGCAGTTCGTCAAATGTTCTAGATCTAAGCAAACCAGAAATTAAGACTGGTAAGACGCAAATGATTTCTACGAAAGATAAGGCCCGAGCCAAAGCGGCAAGCGGTAGTAAATCGATCAGTTCATTTTTTAAGAAGAGTTAATCGTCCACCTAAGGCTGCATCGATTTAGGTCAATTTTAGAGCCTTTATAAGACAGTTTTTCCAGTTATTGTTTGTTCAGTATTGCGTTCCAAATGTAGACTAGTAATAAAAGCGTGAGAAGTTCTTGTTGCAAAAGTTGACATTCGTGACATTCAAATTTAAAAGTTTGGGCCAGTGTTTTAGGTTAATTTATGTTTTTGTTGTAAAAACTTCATTATTGACGGAATTAATTGTACTTAATTTTAAAAAATTATTAGGGGAGCCAACATTTTGCCACTGAATTTGGCTGTAAAAAGTTTTTAAGTTGGATTTATCTATTGACTCCAGGTAAATGTAATGTTTTATACTCCGATTTGATACACGGAATGCAAATATCTTATTTTCGCGAAAAAATAAATAGAAAGATATTTTAAATTGCATATTCGCTCAGGGTAGTAACAAAAATAAACTGTTCATCTTGCTCCTGTGCCAGATTTGTCTTAAATTAAATTGAAAAGGGATTTCCAAGGATGGAAAAGACTCAAATTTAGTATATTTCTTTAGATGCCTTGATAAACCATTTTGTGTTAATTATTATTAGGCACAGTTGGTTCCATTTGATTTTTAAAGAAATGTCTAAATAATCCCCCATCTTTGTTGTGGTTATTTGCAATTTATTTTTTTATACAATTTACATTTAGCTTATTTTTTTTCTTTAAAACTGCCAGTCTCAAATTGTCAATAAATATTCACTGGTGGGTTATAAATAATAGAACAGAATTTAAAGAGAGAGTACTTTCGACCTAAGCTAAGCTCTTTAAAATTCTGTTTCCGCAGCCAGAAAAAGCCCACATATCACATCACCTGCGGCGCAAGTTTAATAAAATGGTAAGATGACAAAATATTTAAAATATAGTTTTTGTTATCCAAAGTATGTATACCCCTACAGTTTAATTATAAAATTTCGAAAACAAAATGATGACCCTGCGATTTTTATGTGACAATGCTTGATATTCCATAGTGTTTTTCAAATCAGAATCTCATTTTTTTGTTTTCCTTAACTTTTTGTTTATAAATAATTAACTTTGCATTTTTTTACATTTTTTATTGTATATTATGTAGCCGTGTTTGTGATAAATGTATCTTAAAATATATACACTCCAAATATTCCAGACTTTTAATCCATATCCATTTTGGGTTCCGCGTCTTCAGCATCGCGACACTTTGCGTTTTGCAGTTCTCGCCTAATCTCGTGGGTTATTGTATGGTGTTTCTGTTTTTTGAGTAATTCGAGCAGACAATCACGTTGCTCAGAAGAGATGTCTGCTTTATACCTTTGAGCAAAGGTTAGAAATGCCTGGTGCCATAACACCGGAAGCTGTCGCTGATCCCGCTCAAACCTAAGAGTTTCAAGTTAAATGCAATTAACTAACTGACTTACCAATTCGACCGACCTCAGAAAGTGAAACACTAAAGCATCAACAACTCTAAATGGCAAGGCATATTTTTTGTCCAAAAATATCCTCAAAAAAATTGAGTTGGCCCCCGTATATTCCATTTCAGCTATTTTAAGTAATGCGGCTGAGGAATGCAGAATTGGTATAGAGTTTCTGGCAACCGCTGAGCCAATTATGATTGCTTCTCGTAATGTGCAATTTCCACTTTCTAATAAAGGTAATAGTATACCTTTCATAAAGGCCCCAGGCTTGAAGAGTGCTTTTCTTAAAGCTTGGTAAAGGTGAAAATTTAATCGTTTATATTCGGCCAAATCGTCTCTGATCCTTGGAAGCAGTACCAGATTGTAAAACCTTTGAGCCATTTTTTCCTTTAGATTTGATGCAAAGATTCTTGTGGCCTGGTACATTGCTGCTGCTGACCACGTCGGTGGGTCTTCATTTACCAAAATAAGGCATCTTTTGATTTATTAGTAGAAATCAACTATACTAAAGCATACCTGTTATATAGAGTATCTGCTCCCAATTTTTTAAACTGGGTATTATCTTAAAAGCCTTTGGCAACTTTCCACTTCTATACTTCCGTAGTACATCCCTAACCCCCTCAAACATTGTCTTAACTCTGGGGTCTAAATCTTTTAATTGCATAGATCCGGCGTCACTAAAATGTGTTTCCAATTCTGTCTGCTTTTCAGTAATCTTTTCCATTATTATATCGGTCAAAGTTCTTCTTGGCTGTGGATTATTACTCATAAACATTTCCATCGCTTTCTCATCTTCCTCGTTTATCTCGATGTTCTCATAGTATGTGTCTGGTTCCAAATCATCTTCCTCCACCTCTGATCCAGACTCATTTCCATCTTCCAAACTTAAAATCTTCTTCCTGCTATTACCAACCTCGCAATCGGATTCTTGTAATTCTTTTTGTTGCTGACGGGCGGCTGTTAAAATTTTCCGAGTTAAGCCTGAATCTACATACTACAAGTACCATAGGTAAGTAAAATTGTCTTCGAATGAGCATTTATACTCGTTTACCTGTCCTTCTTCGTCCTGACGTAGTCGAATTTTGTTCCGGTTTTTTGATGTCGCAAATTTTGTATTATAAATATCCTCTTCTAAAGAACTTTTGTTTGCAACTTGCGAGGGCTTCATTTTCTTTGTTTTTCCCATTATAAAACAGTTTATTTGTTCAATTCCTGCTTTATTTAAATAAATTGGAATGCGCCACTAAGTTTGGTTAGGTCCACAGAGTAGAGAGTATCCCCTAAGGATATTTCTTTTGGTCACACCAAAAACTGTTCTCAGGTTGCCGTTAACAAAAAAACGGCCACCCCCGTTTCCGCTCCAAACCAACCGGTACCGTCGGCCCTTAAATCGACATGAATGACCAAAACAGCGGGGCGGACGATTGCAAGTTTTTTGGGATTACAAAGGGGTGCGAATGGAGGTTAAACCGCCATGGTCAATGACAGAATCCGTCCACAGAATAGAATAATCCTGGACACCACGTATTGTTATTAGCCAATTCGCCAAGGGTAGCCAGTGGGTGCCACTGACTAACAGTATTAATTAAATATAGGTATAAACAGGGAACAAATTAATAAACGAATTTATTTTGGTAATAAGGTACTTTCTTTATTTTTGTTGTTCAAATTATTCATCAGTTTCTTTCATTTTATTGTTTAGATTTTGGAGTTGAACCCTAACATTTTCAATTTCTTCTTCAGAAATGGTCACTTCTACACCACACTCTTTCTGTTCATCACGAATGAAATGCAGAGCACGAATTTTTTCCTCTAAGAATGCGGGATGTTCACTCTCGAGCTGCAACCTTAAAATTAAAAAGTATTGGTAAAAGGATGCAAAATTAAGATTGGTAGAATTTTTACCTATAGACCTCAAGTCTTTGTTGTTTGATATTCTCACAATACTTGTTAGTTAATTTGACAAGTGACTCTTTGCGAGTAATCCAATGAAACTCATTCGGTGGAGGTTTGTATACAATATTTAATACTTCCAGTAGCCATTCAAACTTTTTATAGTCCCACCTTCTGAGATATTTGAGATGCTTTTTCCTTTTGTCAATTAGTTCCTTAAGTTTTACCTTTAGACGAACATTTCTCGGATAGCGTTCCATGCACTCCTGCCATGCTCTGATCCTTCCTGCAATATAAGTAATTTTAAAAACCTGGCTCAAAACAGGCATTGCCTAAATGACCTGTCCATTTTGCTATTTTCGCTTCTATAGTTGAGTGATCAAAATTATGCCTCTGAACTTGATTTACTAGTTCATGGAAATAAACCTTTCTAGTGTACTTTAGAGGAGAAAATTCAAGAGAAAACAGTTTTCTGACATGCTCGTTTGCAGTTTCCAATTCTTCAGAGTTGCGGAACTCAAGAATGGGCTGTTTCGTGTCTACAGAGGGAACTCCTTCCAAATCGCCCGATTTTTCTGGTAGGAAGCAAGGTATTTTCAACGGTCGAACCCACTTGATTTTAAGATCACTTTTAAACGCATAATGTCGGATGACGTTTCCAAATACACTATTCTCGCGAACTAGAATGTTAGCTACATTCACAAACGTAATCATTTTTAATTTCTATCGCCTTTTTTTTAAGATTTTTTTTTTGTTGCTTCCTTACATATTTATACCTACTACCTCCACGATCATAGAAAACTTTTTACCACTAGATTTACTGGGATAACTAAGGTTAGTTTCACACGACCATGGATGAAAAGAAGAAATAGAAATAAAAGTGAATGAAAGTGAAATCAGCCGGTCCTCACGTCACATGAGCCCAGGAGGGAACAAGGGGTGAGTAATTTAAGGAAGGTAAAAACCCTAGAATTGTCAAGTTCATTTGTTTGTCGTTAGAGCTGCGTTCGCTCCATTTTGGTCTACTGTAAAGAATAATGACAGCGTTTATGACGTAATATGGCCCCTTGGTAATCCAAAAGAACCAATTTTTGTAGAAATAGGTTTTGTCAGTTGGTATCTTTCAAAAGAAAAACATTATGTATTTAACTAAGCGAGAAACCAGTTGCAATTCCTAATCCTTTGGTTGACAGAAATATAAAACAACACAAACAAAAAGTGGCTTCAATTATTTTTATTTAAAACTCATGATTAAGCACTTATCAATAATACAATAGAGCAATAATTACTTGAAGACTCCAAAAAGTTGAGAATCACAAAAAATTTCAGTCATAACCAAATAAATAATTAGTAAGGATTTTATAATTAATGTTATCCTTTTATGACAGCTATAGGTCTGAGTTTTATCGCCTTCTTGGAAATACCAGCTGCATGGCAAGTGTTTACTACATCCGTGACATTCTTGTAGGATTCTGGAGCCTCTTCCATAACCAGTTTGGGGGATGCTACTCTAATTGATATACCCATATCTTCCAGTTTGCGTAAAACTTCTGTATATTCAATATTTCGCCTGGATTTCGCACGAGAGAGAGCCCGACCAGCACCATGGCATGTTGAGCCAAAAGTTTCTAGCATTCCCTGTTCAGTTCCAGTTAAAACGTAACTACATGTACCCATTGTGCCACCAATCAATACTGGCTGGCCTGTTAGCTGATAATCAACGGGTATAAGTGGATGATGAGGGGGGAAAGCCCTAGTTGACCCTTTTCTATGTACCAATAGGGTCTTCTGTTTGCCATCAACAATATGTTCCTCAACTTTGGCTATATTATGTGACACATCATATATTACATGCATGTCCAGATCATCTGGGGCCATGCCAAATTTCTTGGCAAATGCCTGTCTGCTTAAGAAAGTCATGGAGCTACGATTGACCCAGGCAAAATTTGCTGCAGCTGCCATAGACTTTAAATAATCCTGTCCCTCGGTTGAATTGATTCTGGCACAAGCCAACTGTCGATCATTTGTCTCTATGTTATCTCTCTTCATGGCCTTTTCCATCTGAACTAAGGCATCCGTGGCCACTTGATGTCCAAAACCTCTGCTGCCTGAATGGATCATTACACAAATCTGACCTTTTTCCTCAATACCCATTTTACAGGCTGCCCATTTATCATAAATTTCGTCAACAACTTGGATTTCTGCATAGTGATTCCCCGCACCTAATGTCCCTAGCTGAGGTAAACCTCGCTTTTTCGCCCTCATACTCACTTTTGAGGGATCTGCATTTAACATTCTCCCATATTCTTCGCAATGCTCTTTATCTTCAGCCCAGATGTATCCCTCCCTTAATGACCAATCCATGCCCATTTCTAATGCTTCTTCCAAATCCTTGGCATTCATTGGTATTATACCTTTGGATCCCACACCTACTGGAATATGATCAAAGAGACTTTGAGTCAACTGTTCTTTCACTGGCAAGATATCATCGAGAAATAAATTTGTTCTCAACAGCCTTACACCGCAGTTTATATCAAATCCTACGCCACCTGGTGACACTACAGATAAAGGGTCGTTCATGTCAAATGCAGCCATGTTTCCAATCGCAAAGCCATACCCAGAGTGAATGTCTGGCAAGCCCACAGATTTGCCCACAATGCCAGGTAAAGCGGCAACATTAGCTATTTGTTTCACACCTGGCAAAAAACCCCCAACCATGCCGGGCCTGCAGGCGTTTCGTAACTCATCCAGCATTAATTTCTCCAACGTTTTGTTAACATAAAACACTCCTTCAACTTTCATGTTAGGCTGAAACCCTTTTTTTATCCGCCAACAATGCGGCGATAATTTTTCCAAGTATTCTAACTCTTGCTGATACTGTCTAACAACCATTTTGTGGCTTAAATTGTCCAAAAATATTTTTTCAAAAAAATATTTCAATGATATATAACTCACGCAAACCCTCTAACCACACATTTTTGCCGGAAAATGTTTTTTGTGTGTTAAACATAGAACATAGAATATAATACAGGAAGGCCAGTTGTGGTGTATTCTTCGTTCACTGTCATAGACAACAAGTGTCAGAAACATTCGGACATTTGAGTACAACACATACAAGCAATCGCTTTTTCTGTTAAAGTTAAAGACTAGAAATATTTAGATAAGAAAATCTTCCAAAAAAGAACAATTTATTTCTTTGAAGGGCATATTTACATATTTTGCAAGGAAGAATCACAATCTTATAACACGTACTTATTCATAAGATCAAGTGCCGTTTCGTCGCGTAGTCGTCATAATTACACATTTTGATATAAAACTAGGAAAACTTAGTACATATTGACTTACAAAATAGATGCAAGTTGAAATGGCATATATTCACAAGTAAAGTAATGCAATAAAATAAATAACTATAATTAAATGTCATAGATAACACAATCCATAAATGACGTTATCATAACTAATATTAGTATTAATATCTGTAACCGTTGGCAGCACCGTTTCCATTGCCGTTCCCATTTGACCCTCCCGAAGGGTATCCGTTACCGGCCGCTTCCTCAGCCGCGTTCTCCTCGAGCGATTTCAAGATTTCTGGTGGGATTGGTGGCGGGGTGGGCAAATGATCTCCTAAATGCGTCGGGTTACATATTTAATAAGAATTAGAAGTTTGAATGTAAAATTACCCTTGGGAACGAATCCATTCTCGTCGGCGGTATATTCGATTTTGATTTCGGTGCCGTCCGGTGCAGTATAAGAAAACGAACCAACAGCCGATTGCGCCTCCGCCTCACTTCCCGCGTTTTTAAGTTCGCCCGCTTCCTCCGCTTTAATGCCATTGCTGGTCTCGTAACTGAAACCACAAAATTTTGAGGGTAACGTTGTGACGTCATTTTATCATTTTCGTCTTAGCACTGACTATAAAAAATTTCTGATCAAATGGATCCCGGCCTTACCTCCATTTGTAGTTTCCACTCCCGTCGTTATTATTTTCGTATGAGATTATCGTGGCTTGAGCGTCGGCACCCGCCCCAGCACCGCCGCCTCCGCCGCCGCCACCGCCACCGCCACCGCCTGGCGCACCATATGTAGGCCTGGGTCCGCCATTACCTTTAAATAGATGTGTGTTATTTTTATATTACCGGACCCATCATCATGAAATAAATTAATTAATATGAATGTCGTGTTCTATAACAGTTACTATTCTATGCACAGCCTGAAAATGCGTTTCTTACTTTTGAATAGTCGCTTTGTTTTCTTCCCCGATTGTTAATGACAAAATACGTACAAAGTTAAATACGTGTATTAAACGAACCACAAAATTTCGAATTATTGGTTTGGTTTGCAGTCCATAGGTTGAACCATCATCATCACCAATCGCGCCAAATAGATATATTTGCAATCGATGATAATAATTATTTACCAGGCCTACCGCCATTTCTGCCCCCGCCGCCAAACGGTGTTGCTAGTCCGGGGCCTCCGCCGGCTCCTTGAGCGCCACCTGGCGGCAAATAAGTGCTGTCTAGTCGGGCCGTAGAACAAAGACCCACCAGAGTTGCTATTAATAACTGAAAAGAATATATTCGATAATATAACGACTTTTACAACCTGGGTGTATACTTATTTGTAAAACACTCTGTATATGTATGCGTACGTGTTTCTTTAAATTTAATACTGTTCAAACTTAATTAAAACATGTAAAATATATGTCGAGACCCTATCATTGTTCGCCATGTTTGGCTATATCCATATAACTTTTAGATAATATGCCCTAAAAATTAATGCACAGCAGGCGTCACTGATATTATCATAGAGAAGGGAATGATTTTCCGCGCATGTCTCTACATTTCACCCTTCACTTTGCGCTATTTTCTTTCTAAATAGCGATTCCCATACACTCGTTTCCTCAGAGCATTTAGGCATATTTTCAGAATCAAAGTCTTGACTGGAACCTTCGGCAGTATACTAACACACAATAACGCGTTTTACCACAAACCGAAACTCAATTTTACGTACTCGATGCGCGTTTCTCCGACCAAGTTGGCATCTTCAGAAGAAGATTAAAACTGTTTTAATCTTCTTCTGAAGATGCCAACTTGGAAACGCGCGTCGAGTACGTAAAATTGAGTTTCGGTTTGTGCCGTAAAAATGCCGTACCCAAACTATCGAGGATTTGTCGGCGACCCTGTTGGTTGTTGAATGCCGCAAGGGCATTGGTTCAAAACAACATTTAAAATTTTGAACATGCGCATGTTGAATGGACCTCCTTAATTTCCTGTGTTATCGGCATAGGCAGGGCCTCTATATATATCTCTAGTAACTATGTACTATATCACACCAACTTGCATTTTAAATTCCGACATTTTCTTTCTAACAGAGACCGCCACACGATTAACTAATATTTGGCATCAAAATTAGTTAGTTCGATACTGTCCTAACTGATTTTGAAAGAAACTTTCACAGGTCGCCGTAATACTATTTACAAAACTTCTGGATTCCTCCTGCTTCGGTTGTTGTTAAATCGAACTTGCTAACGTTTCGCCAATCATCCTGTTGGTTACTTCAGTTTCAGTTAAGCCCCGAAGAAACCAACAGGATGATGGGCCAAACGTCAGCAACAACTCAACAACAACCGACGCAGGCGGAATCTAGAAGTTTTGTAAGTGTGCGAACGATTTATACTTATAGTTTCAAAGACAACACGAAAAAATTTTAAATCTACGCAAAAATGTCAGTATCATGAAGTAAACGCATTGGAATATTTTGGGGAAACATTAACAATAATTATAACAAAAAATTCATTTTAAATTTCACGTTAAATAGTGAAATAACTCTCTTACTGTTGGTTTGAGGGCAAAATTCAGCTTTTATGAGGAAAAAAGTGATGTAAATGGAATATACAGGACGTCCAAATAACAAAAGTGCGAACTCTAAAAGTTAGTCAGTTCGCTCACACGGTATTCGTATAAAATATCTGCAAAATTGTCACTCACCAGCCTAATATCACACATAGTAACTACCAGACTAAATAATTAAATGTAACTAATCCTCTGGAGGCTAATTCGGTGCTTTTATACTATTGGATGTTACATTGGACCAGCAGCCCCACTCCGATGCATTAATCAGCACAGTGTAACAAGATTATTGTCTCCTATATAGAGAAATAACGCCGAAGATGACCCCCTATACGCGCGGGATGCGTCTCAGTACCACCTTTCACATCGCTAGCACTTGAGTACGACGGCGTATATGGATCCTAAGGAGTACGCGGTTACTTAATTGTGGTTACCACATGAATCGGTTCAATTGTCCGGAAAAGTGAAAAATCGTCGCTAAACAAATGATTAAAGCTAATTAACGCGCTTTGATTGTATACTGCAATCTGTCAAGGTAGATCTCGAAATGGTAATTTCGACGACCTCATCTTGCAAATAAATCGTATCAATATTTTATGGCTTGAAGTTGTTGTTCTGCAAAAAAATAAAGAAAATATTTTTATCAAAATAACATTTATTTATTAATTTATAATTATATACAGGGTGTTTTCTAATTGAACGTCAATATTAACATGAAATCTAAAAGTTTTTATGAATCGTGTTACTGCTTGATTAATACCAATTAACAAATTCTATTAAAAGCCAATGTGACCGGGCAGATATATAACGTACATCGTTAGAAAATATCAATAGGGAAACCACTGATGAAAACAATTAATCCTAAGAATATAAATAATCTTCGTGTAATCAATATTTTTAAAGCAATATCAAAAATATTTGATAGAGTTTTGTATGGTATATGTAGGTACAACTACTTTATCAATAATAATATCATTTGAACCACAGTGCGATCAAAAATCCAATTATAATTTCGTTAAAACCTAAGTACAAGCGTACATTGAAAGAGCGATCTAACCAACCCAAATCTGATAGCATTATGACGAATTTGATATTAAGTTTACTGATCATTTTTTAATAAAAAGTACAACATTTCTACTTTGCAGAAACTATCAAGCAAAAACACTGTTAAGAAAAGAGAACCCTTTGCTCACATGTTAATGATAGCTTGTCATATTGACAGTTTAATACATTTGTTCAAAAACAACAGACGAGCGAGGTCATCGTGGATTTTGCTCTTTTTTTATATAGTTAGTTATGTTTTTTAGGTTTTTTCATTGTTTTGGGAAATATGTAATTGCTTTATTTTTTGTCAAAACATTAGTAAATCGTCTAGTAAAGATAAATTGTGATGTTTTCTTCAATGTGTAATGACAAGACACTTTCAAACTTATAAAATGTTTTGTCTACAAAATTTCCCAAAGTGACCTAGATCGTTTTTCTCGTGTGTTCTTTAAATGTTATGAACGACATACTTGGAACATGCGACAAAAATATGATCATTGATGCTACTAATCACAATTTGCTTATAAGTAAACTAAACTTTGACAGTTTTTATCTAACAAGTTTCAAACATATACTCCAATAATAAATATTCTGATCATATTGCTTTACTTTCTGGAGTTTTCGGAACTTTCTTCTGTACTGTAAAGTATAAGCATTTGTCGATGACCTGTAGTTGTATTGTTGTTTTAATGCGGATGACCGGGAAAGAACAAAACTACCACTTCCATCGATCGGTTTAATATAAAAATTCATGATACTCAATTGAAATTGTTATCTACAGCAAAGACACATATTCTGTCTATTATGTTATCTTATGTTTGGATCTAGAGAGTAATACACGAATACAAAGAGTCAAAACTCATCTTTATACGGACATTAACTAAATTAAATTAGAACAAAAAATGTTCAAATTTTCACAGTATTTTAATGATTTATGACAGCTCTTTCGGAAACACCATGCCTATATCAAATACAAAATATGAAAATATTCCAACATCTATATATATATATATATATATATATATATATATATATATATATATATATATATATATATATATATATATATATATATATTTCTGGGCTGAGCGTCCGTTTAATTTGGGATTCATTTCGCTGCCATAGAGAATCTTCTACTTTCAAACAGATTTAGCATACATATATATATATATATATATATATATATATATATATATATATATATATATATATATATATATATATATATATAAACAGGTAGTAATAGATTTTTGATTACCGGTGTAGGATTATAAATTAAAATTTAACAACAGCGACGCATTTAAATCCAATTCGTCATGAAGTAATAGATTCAAATATCTCATTTTGTTAACCTCCATAGCTTCCAATAAATGTAGTTTTTTACTTTTTTATTGATGATTATGTAAAATATCAAAATTATCGTCAAACTTGTGCATTTCTGAGTTTAAATGAATAGCCCGATATAAATTTTGGAACATGATCTATACGTCAACTTGTAGACTCCGGATTTTTAGAGTTTTTGGTAATTTAGTTTTATTTATTTATTTTTAAATGTCCTATGGTGTTTTCAGTTTTAAAAGCAATCTTAAGACCAAGATAGATGTTTCGAAATTTTCTTGCTAGGTTCTCCTATGTATTTTTTTGCTTTATAAATTTTTAGGTCGGTGTTTAATATGGGATAGAGAGTTCAAAGTCAGTTCAAAAAGCTTTTTAGTTATAATCTATCAAGGAGGGGCCGTAACCATTGTTAAAATTTTCTGGGGAAAGTGGTATATTAATTAGTCTGTGGATAAAAGCATAAAAAGCAGCCATTTTGTGCATGTAAAGGTGATTTTAATTATTATGTATTATTGTGTCCGTGTATGAGGGTTTATGGTAATCTAATTTGTTCTGTAGTTTCGTTATAGTTACATCCAGAAAGTTTAAAGAGTTATCTATTTCCGTCTCTATGGTAAATTTTATACGGTTATCTATGGATTTAATATAATTCAAAAAGGACTGCGCTTTTCTTTCCGTTCCAGTGAAACAAGCAAAACATCATCTACCTATCTATACCTCCAAAAAATTACTTTACTCAAAGGATGTTTATGTATGATATTTTCTAAATTATCCTTCAAAATTTCTGCAAGTAGTGGACTAAGTGGGTTTTCCATAATTAGTCCTTCTTTCGCAATATAAAATTGACCATTAAATTCAAAATAATTTTGATCTAAACAAACTAATAAACTATATAGCAAGTCTTGCTTTATGATAGAGTTGACTTGTCTCTTAGTAAGAATATGTCACTGTGTTGCCGGAACACCTGTCATAAATCAATAAATAACTTTGAAAATCTGAACATTTTTTGTTCTAATTTAATTGTGTTAAATATATTTTCATCAAGTAAAAGTCACCTCAGTCCAAGGACACCAACTGATTGAAAATAGATAATTGTCAAGTTTTGTTGTTTCTTAATAAAAATCACTTACTTTTTTGTTATAACCTTCTTAATGTTAATGTTAGTGCCATGTTTCGGTCCAGTTTTTCTTGAAATCCAGTGCGCTATTACCGACGCATTATTCTAGCTTTTATGTCAAAGCAACTTATTACGAAACACCCTGTAGATGATAGAGAAAATTAAATTAAAATTGTAATAATAATATTGATCTAGTTTTAGGTGGTCCTAAAGTAATTAGATGCGTCTTTGTTCGCTACGCTGCTGTCGAAATAGTGTTACTTAAATACCTACTTATCTTAATTTAATTGTCAGGGGCACGCTACACGGTTTTATTCGTTAAGGCTTAAATTAACAGAAGCGCCCAAACTGACTCACGATCTCTTATATAAGCTCATGTTTCTGGAATTAATTGACTATCTACCGGGTAGCGTCTCGAGTTTTAAGCCAAATAAAACGAAATTTTAGTGAACAATATCCATTATGTATCTTTTTTCGGCAGGTCAAAATTTGCCCGTGTTGAATCTTCTGAACACTCCGTACGCGAGCATAGAAACTTTAACGGCGTTAATTGTTGCGACTTATTGCTTATGTTCGCATATGAATTTGATTTAAACCAGTTGGTGTTACATGTCGCATGTACGCAGGTATAAATAAATGAAATCTTATACGCGAAAGATTATCGATAATATTTATGCATATGAACTTTATATTGCGAAGTAACCGCGATGGAACTGATGTGGTCCAATGGGCGCTGCTTTGGGAATGCTTTATGTTCCACTGAATAATAGATCAAATATTATTATACGAATACCATAATACACGCGCAGAATATTGGAGCTTGTTCATTTAATTAAATACGTTTTTTTCTCTATTCTATTAATAAAATTCCTAGAATTAGAACCAATGAAAAGCAGACCATATGATTAACTATTTTCCTCATTTCCATATTAATAAAGGTATATGAAATAAAAAACATTGATCAAGTCCTAAGTTCTAGAGTATTCTAGAGGGTGGTTTCTCAAAATAACACAAACATAAGCACAATATAGAAAGGAATTCCGTATTTATGGCTATTGTTACTATTATTACAGTTTTCACATATCAAAAAATAGAGCCTGATCGACTGAAACCAAGTTACTTAAGACTCATTCTATCGCCTTAAGCAACCGATTTTCCATTATTATAAATGTTCGTTTTCCTTGACATGTCCAAACGGTATAGCGTAATTAGAAATACTTTACCCCTCCGTGTGATGGCAACTAGTTCCCCATTTATAATTATTATGTTTGTTGATGTTGTTGATGTGTTGTGGTTAGTTGATCATGCCTTGGGATTTTTTCACATTTCAAATCCGTACGGAAGCTTCCATTAACATTAACACTAAATTTAAATGTAGAGTATAACCGTGAATGATTACGTTGTGAAAACAGCCTTTTTACATAGTTCAACTTTGTTGGATATTTAAATGAAAGGGTAAAAATTAATTTTGATTTTCATATATTGTTCGTTTTTTGAATTTTCTATTGTTTTACTTTCCTCGCAAGGAGGTATGGTAATTGTTCAAAAATCCTGAATTGCTTATTTTCACTAGAAATGGTACAGCTTTTCATGCCCGCGAATAAGAACATTTGTATATTATAATATATAATACACAAAAAGCGAATATTGATAATATCTGACATATAAACCCCTAAATATTTTTATTATATTATTACTTTTTCGATATACTTGTTTATTTTTGCTTAAAAGGGAGTTTTTACTGGCTCCTTTGTACATACT